ACAAAGAAGCAAAGACAGCTCCACACACATCAATATCTAATGAATGAATCCACAATAACTTCGATGCTTGTGGAGCCATACAACTTTTAAGAATAGACATTTAAACTAAACAATAGAATTAAAATTAACTAAGTGAAAAAGRCTTCACCAGTCTGAAATTTTCAATTTKCAATTAAACCACAAAAATATTATTCAAATTGACTTACCCWGTAGATATTTCCCACATTTTAATGGTCTTATCTCTTGATGCAGATACTAAGTGATCTCCAGTGGGCATAAATGATACAGATGAGACATTGTGGTCATGACCTGCAATAATAACATCAACCCTAACATGAATCATGCTGAATCAGGAATAAAATAATTGAGAAAACTTAGAAAAAAAGTATAAAATATTTATGAAAGAATCATAAACTCATAAAATGTAACATATTTATTTTGTTCATTTTTTGTTGATTTTTGTCAACTTACCATGCAAGGTTTTTAYACATTCATATCCTTGAAAATCCCAAAGTTTAATTGTCATATCTGCAGAACATGAAGCTAGAAAATAGATGATTAATTGTGAGCATCTTGTCCTCAACATCATTACCATCAAAAGCAATTATCATCACTATCACTGCTACAATAAACAATGTATAGCAATGCCATTTTGTGCAATCAAGCATGATAAAAAATGTTGCCGCACACTTGTTGCAGAAATAATTATACTTGCATCTTTGAAAAGAAAAGAAAATTACCTCTTTTCAATTAATTTTTTGATCTTTTATAACAATTTTACCAAAATTTGGATTTGTATTTAAATATTTTAACATTCCATTTCAAGTTTTCCTGTTTTTATTCAAGCAATTATAATATAAAGTATGCATATATTATATACATCTCTTGACTCCTTACCTAAATATTTTCCAGTGTGATCAAACGCCACATCCTGTACRGCATCAGTATGTCCCTTYAAGGTTTTTTCAAAGTCCCCGGTTTCATAATCCCATACTTTGACAGTAGCATCTTCTGAAGATGTTACCATAACACTGAAACACAAATAAAATAGAAAGATTGAATGATATAGTTAGCTGTAGCCTAAAAGATATAATATTCAAGAGTAAAAGGCAATAAAGAATCATGTCTCCTAGACATCCTACAACAGCTGAAAATTTAGAGGAATAGCATCATATTAAGGTCTTAGGATAAAGTTTCAACAGGTCAGTGGATGTAAAACAGAATTTCAGCTTGGGCAGTCAAATGTTTTCATGTACAAAKGCTGAAGGAAATCCATTATAACTGCTCATTTGTAGTTATTTTTTGCCCAGACATCCATAGACTCAAATATAGCACAAACAATTACAAACTGACTTTGACGATAACTGAAATGCATTTGCAGAAGAATAGAACAAGAAATAATATCAGATGAAATGAAGTACACTTTAGCACTACATATTTTTATACCAGTAATTTTATTCAGAACATATGAATAATTTATTCAAGGAAGGATGTTTTGGTTTCTACAAACATTTTGATTAGCAAAGCTCACTGCAAGAAATTACCTATATATTGGATGAAAGAGAACCTTTGTAACAGGACTCCTATGACTTGACAATGAATATCTAAAGTAAAGAAGCCATAAATATTAACATCCTTGCATGTAAAACATCACAAAATGTCGGTTTCTTTTTCATAAGGTAGCCTCAACATTCGATAAAGTGCAATAGCATATTAACCACATGTCATATGGATCAAAGGATTATTTTTCTTTTTGGGATTAGTATTAAACAACATAGTATTTTACAATATTAGTATGTGCTGTGCCACACTAATAGAGTCACATTCTTTGATACCTTTCTGGTGGTCTAGGTATCCAATCTTCAGGAGATCTATTTTTACTTGGTCCTATAAATTATAAAGTGTAGAAAAATAACAATATAGAAGAGGAAACAAATGGCAATTAAATGTAGCAAAATTAAATTTGATAATTACAGATAGCACCTGCAATTTAAACACTGMTTTTCAATTACAAACACATTTGAAGATGCGTACACAACATAGGACGATATGTTTCAAACAATTATAGTATAAATATTACGCTAATGATAACAATCATAATGACAACAATAAACACTTAGGTTTAGCAATTTGTACAGAAGTATTACATATAAAATCTTTTAGTATGATGTTTCCTATGTTATTTTGATGAAGATAGGTTTATTGTTTGAAAGTTCAAACACCAAAATAATTTCTACATAGACAAAACTTGTATCATATTTGAATTTTCAATAATTGATAAAAAAAAAAAAAAAAAACTTACCACCACCACCACCAGTGCGGACTTCTTTTTCTGCTTCAGACAGTCTTGATTCAAGATCCATCACCTGAAAAAAGATTCATAACCCAAAACCTTCAATATTTCAGATCCAAACTCATCAAAAACCAAACATATTCCTAAGTACAAAAATATACAACCTTCTCAACCTCTCTGTAGTCTACATTTAGCAAGTTACTTCCTTATTCATAGGGTAAATAATTTATTTTTGAAAATTCTGAGACTCAGCGATCAGCTTAAAGGTGTGACGTCTACAATCAAAACAGTTGTAAAAGCATAAAACTGTCTAGATAAAACCACAATTTGCAAACCAATATTGTGGCGAATTACAAGGGAAACGATGAGTAACATGTGCTGCAATGCTGTGTGGTTAATAAAACTCAATTATACTATATATACAACACTTATACAGTATTACCATGTGTAATTGTTACCTTTTTCTGCAGTCTTATGACTGAAGTCCATTTTTTCTCTAATAACCCATTATATTTTGCTTCAAGTTCTCCTGGCTGCAAAGTCATTAACAATGCATGTTGAAAATAAAAAATCCTTACTAAGTCTATAACTACAATGTATCAATAAAGAATTAATTTATTTGGACCAATAAATCGACCATATAATGCAAATGTTTAGATCATGATTGCTAGAAAAAAAAATTACATGTTAAAGTATTTGAAAACATGCATTGTGTTCAGTATTAAATCTAATTCTGATCACTTTCCAAAAGATTACAATCTTTAATACATAAATAACAGACGCTATTGAATAAATCACAAGTATGATCATCAATAAATAATTACAATCACAGTTAAATAAACAGTCAACCTTGGTACTGTAAACATAATTGCTTGCATGGCAAGCATTAGATCATTATCATTTGACACTAAAAGTGGCTTTCACTAAACATTTTAAGATAAACAATTTTTTTTAATTTTCATATATTTTAAGGTAAAAATCTCAGCTGGCATAAAAATAGATAAAGATATCTTGAAAACTAACACTGACATTTGTGTCTGTAAAATTTAGTGGATCATGTTATGCATAAAAGTTTGTTTCCAAGAATGATGGAATACTACCTACCATTTGAGCATCCTGTTTAAAGGCATTTAGTGTATCTTCAAACCCACACTGATGTAGGTAATCAGCAATTGCTTTATTTCTGCAAACAGGAACACAGTGAGTGGAAACACAAAAAGGAAGAGAATCACATGGGGTTGGTTTTCGATGTAGCTGTACAGTGTTGAGCTATGTTACCAATATCAATTTCTAACGCATTTATATTTAATTATCGCATTAAAATCACGACATAGATTTTGCTAATTTATGACAAAAACTATCAAACTAATAAGAATACAAGAGAACCACTTAGTAATGCTTCGATTGACTAAGTCAGTGATCACAGAACACAGAATAACTCTACGTTGCAAAATGTACAAATTACGCTATGCAATGTACAAATTATCCACTTACAATTCTTCTCTCTGTTTCGGCGTGAGGACCATGGCTAAAGTCACAATTTGTCCGTAAAACGACCAATTCCTTATATATGATCATTAATGTAGAACAAAAATCCTACAATATTCATTACAGAATCGTCTTGTCAGCATTTACATTTGGAGATTTCATCTGAAATACCGAGCTACAACTCCCATCAATTTGAGAAATCTGAAAAAATAAAAAATAGAAGCTGGGCTGAGCACTGTTGTCAACATTTCTCATAGGTGACATCGAGTCCTTAGGAAGTACAAACACGTATATTTGCTTTAGATGCCTTWATATTTTCTCAATAAATTGATTTATAAGGATGGTTACTATCTGGAGTGATTTCCAGACGGAGAAACTGAACGAGCGTACGGAGGACTTTTATGTCGCGAACGATTTCAAAAAAATACCATGAAATATACTATTTCTAGTACTGAAAATGTGATCCGTCTACATTCAATCTCTCAAGCCTTAAATTTCATTTCATATAATGCTATCACGCATATTTCACAAGGCGAGAGCTCTACCCACCCATCCAAATAGGCCAACATTTTCTCTAAGCATTCGGTCAAAATCTAACCGATTTCAGGGTCTCGCAATGCGAATAAAAGAACAATAACATTAAGATTACCTTAAATGCTAACGAAAGATCCTCTTCATTAAAAAGGACAGCTCCACAATCCAATAAAAGGTATGAAAAAGTCGAAAAAGTGTCGGCCACTGGGCCAGGTTTAACCTCAAACACCGCTCTATTTCAAGCACTTGGAAAAACGGCCAACCCAGCATGCAGCGCGATCCGTCTCGCGCATGAGTGATACGTCTTCCCTCGCCCTTCGAAAATTAGGGCTCTTATTCGAGTATAGGAGCACGTACCTAACGTATTATGTACCAATAGCATTTTCAGCAAGAAAATTCAAAAAATCACAAAATAATGAATATGTTACCAAACAATTTTATTCAGTGAATAAATAAGACTATTTAGTAAAGTGGTTTTGATTCTTCTCCGTTCACAAGCACTGACTTGGTACTGACTGGTCACCAAAGGAAGCCCAATAAGATAATGTGCAATTTTCAAGAATTAATGTCCATGACAAAAACTGGCTGCATTGTGTTTATAAAAATTTGCATAAATTATGACAATATTTTCCTTGAGTAACCTAAACAACAGCAATATTTATCCAACCTCGTTCCCAGGGCTACTCTGCGCGCCCAGAGATAGCCCTGGCATCGGCCGGTCAAATATGGATTTTGATTGGCTAAGATTTTTCTCACTTTTCATTGGTTGCTTATTTGTTGTGACTTTTGGACACAGTAAAGTTGATGGAAATTTTACTAAAATGCCTGATATGAGTTCAGCGTCTACAAGATGCTAAAACTACAAAAAGAAAAAAACATGAAGTATTCTATCGTCATGCACTAGGTCTATTTACAGTAAGTAGAAGTGAAGACATGAATATTCGTGAGACGTTTGAACGACGTTTGAACATGTTGTGGACAAAAAGAAAGCGAAAAAGACTTTGCATAGCATTACAAAGCTTTCACAAAATATTTTTTTGCAATATTTCAAACCAGCCACCATTTAGAAATTATTGTAAATGATATATATATAAAGTGTAATAAAATTACATGCCGTTCTTGGCGTACTTTTATCGCTTTGTACATCTGATCGCCGTTTTCTCGGCCGATAGTGGTCACGAAATGTTATGTTCGGATTTTTTCATAAGCTTATATTACTCACCAAAGATGCCAATATCTTAGATCAAGGCGGGAAAATAAGTTGTGAAAAAAGAATTTTGTCATGCTTTATTAAATTTGCGTCATAGAGTTCAAAGTACAATTAACTCAGCAAAATGCCTAACCTCTATTTTTGCAAAATGTTTTTCAAACTTTAAAAATAAAACTTTCAAAAATCTTATTGTTTAGTACCTTCTAGCTTAGATGAATGGGCGTATTCAAACTTTCTAGACTTTCTAGATAGATTTGTAGATATATCAGCGAGATAAGCCATGAAAAAGGACTAAAAAGACATCAATTGACGCGACATGTTTGAACTTCAACAAACATTGACATTTGTTAAGTTACCTTAAAAATTTGAACAATTCGTCGCAGTCTTCAGCAGTCTAAGCGATTTTTCAAATTCCTGTTTTCAGTCATCTCGATGATTTGATTCGATATCTCTTGAATTTTTATACTGCTACTTTGGTCTTCGACGAATCCATAATAGGTTAACTTACACTACTCGACAATTCAAAAAGAGAGTTCACAAATCCGCTGTTTTTTCCTCTTGATCTTTAACATGCCTTTAAGCTTCCTGGAACATCAGCTCTCCTTGTTGTCAATCACTTGAAGCGAAAAGGTAGTCAAGACTGTTTCTTTTAGGGCGACAGTTTGCTAAACTGGATTGACAAACCCTCAAAAATGACTAAGTTTTTCCTTCTCTTTCTTTGATGAACAAGTCAGTTTTCTGGACGTACATTTCAACACGGATCGGAATCCAATGAAATTGGCGGGGATCTTCCAGATTGCATTAAAATGTGTGAAAATTAGCTTTTCAGAATGTTTTGAAAAGTTGAATAAAGTTAATTGTTGCTCCGAACATTATCATTTTCCAAAACCAAATAGCGCCTGCATTCAGCGGTAATCCACACTAAACACCCACTGGGAGTGGGTGTCACGTGACCGGCCAATGCCAGGGCTATCTCTGTCCGCCATTTTGAAAAAAGCGAGCAGAGTAGCCCTGGGAACGAGGTTGATATTTATCGCAATCAAAAATTTAGAAACGCATTACAAAAGAGCTGAGATATTTTAAAAAGATTTTAGGAGAGCATTAGTTCACCTTAGAGAATTAGATTCTTCTAGATCTACGATTTCGATTTCCGTTTCAGCGTGGGCTAAAAACGCGTAGGATAGTAGGCCTTGGAACGTAACGTATTTGCATGATCATTGGAACTGGGTTGCCTGTGTCTAAACATACGCAGTGCATGATAGGTAAAAAATAATGGCGGACGAGACAAAGTTGATTCATGTTTCGACAGTATGTGAATACGAACCCCTCAAACTGTGCTTAGAACGAAATAAAGGAGACAGGTCTAAATGTAGAAAAGAGCTCGAGGAATTTCAACGATCGTGCACAGAAAATAGAAGGTAAAAAATGGCTAGTTGTGTACAAGTGTAGATCGAAGAATGTAACCTCATGGCGCGCATCAAAGGCTGTTTAATCTTATATCACACCAAAATATTCTATTTTAACGCTACGGATTATGTTTGCCAAGGGATGATGGGTGATGGAATGACTACTTACCAAATAAAATGTACAATGAACAATCGTTGATACGTAGTATATTAAAAACTAGATGAAATTGAAAGAGAGAATATTACATAACTTAACCTAACCTAAATTCCTGAGCACTTATGCACCTATCAATGTCTTGCCCCAACGGGGGGAGCCCGGGCATACCCAGGGGCTATTGACATTTTTAGAAAAAAAAATGTCAATGAGGCCCTCTTAAATTCTACATCAAGGCCCCTGTCATATGATAAACGATTTTTAAAATGTACAGTACACCGGGACTGTGTTGCTCAAAGCTCGATGAAAGCTGAGCCTGGTTTAATTTTTAAAAAACCTATGGAGTTAATCCTGGATTAATGCATGTTTAACAATCTTTCCTTTTGTAAGTGAATGAAATAACATTCTAAAATGTTTAGTCTCTGATCAAATTGTCGCCCTACCCTGGGGGGATCCCTGCATCAATAAAAGTCTAACAGCGCCTGTCAGGGGCTAGGTTCGTATGTCAATAGCCCGTGTGCACCCGGGCTCCCCCTGTTGGGGCAAGATATTGATAGGCGCATTATTCCCATTGTAAACATAGTGTGACGTCATTTTGCGGTAGGATAGTTGGCAATTCTCTGGTGCAATAGTTTCCTTAGAGAATAAATATCAAATCTAATTTCCTCTCCTTTCCCAAGATAAAAAATAACAATCATAATTTTTGTGATGCCATTGCTAACAATGGCAATCAATAATCTCTAGGATTAGTATGATTTTGACGATTTTATATGATTGAAGAGTGACTCAATATATCATCTGTGCATTGATGGCGTAACACAATCATTTTTGATCGATTTTATCGACTTACCCATCAGTCTCAATCATCAAAATTAATAAACTCCATATAGATCATCAGATAGTTGCTGATCAGGATGTRTTCACAAGGAAGTGAGGCTTTATTTTTCATATGTGGTTGGGAGGGATAGAGGAACACTCCTTAGAAATTTCGAAGTTCATGTCCTTTTGCATTGCATTCTACAGGAAGCAACAAACTGGTGGCACAGCAGAGGAAAATTGTAACTGTTCACAATGAACCTCAAGAGTTAGGCAAAGGTTGACAATTATTGAAAGAACACAGGAATTTGACAACAATGATGAATTGAATATTACGATATGATTCAAGTAAACATTTATCAGAATCCTGAAGATCAAACATCTTAGAGAACCATAGTCCTATCTTAAACAATCCAAGGTTTGGTTGGAAACTAAAAAGGCTCAATACTTCAAGACAGATTTGTAGTCCCTTTTGAGAGGCCTGATGACATGCTTTGATTGTTGCAAGACAAATGAGTCCCTAATAATTGGGCCACAAATTGACAGAAGACTTCTATGGCAGATGTATGCGACTTGCAACTTATGGTGGTACAGAAAGCTGACTGCACTGATTTAAAAAATATCTTTATTCATAAAAACGATTATTCGAAGCTTTGGTTAATATAAAAAAATTAAAAATACAAGATGTATATAGTATATATGGTTTTCGATTTTCTATGAGTATGAAACAATGATATAAATTTTTAAAAATTGTTAAATTTTGTCGTGAAGTGATATTTGGGTGTATATTATTTTGTGAATAAACATTTCACTATTTTTTAAAGATACAAAATGAATTATTAAAATATATGCTTCCCTTGTGAAAAGACTTGTATGTTCTTGTAGGTTGGTACAGTAGGCATTTTGGAACACAATTTATCTTGCGTTGCTTTAGAAAACTCATTTGAAATCAACTACTATACTTTGTCTGTATTCTGTTTTCCTGTAAAGAATGTTACCATGCTCAGTCTTGTTGGTGTTTGACGTATTTTCTTAGGATGGACCTTGAATTCCTACTGTTCATTTTCATTTTCTGTCTTCGTATCTCGTGCTAACCCCAATAACATCATACCACTCCGTGCCTCACCGGCTCTAACCACTCCCTTCCACGGCACGTAATTCAGTTTGTGTCTTATTTTACCGGTATACGAGACATCCACAAGTCGTTTCTTTTCGTTAATTCCACGGATAAGCAGCCTTACAGTTACACCACATTCTTTGATCTTGCAAATTCCAATCCCTTTGAAAAAAGGAGCCAGTCTTTTCCTGGAATTTTCTGTCTTCAAGCGATTGTAGTGAAACGCAAAGCAACAGTGTGGATTGGATTGCTTTAGATGTTCAGACAATACGTGCGACCACGGCCCAGTCAGCAGCCTTCCACCAGATGGCATTTTACGAGGTTTGATTGTTTCCCATTCTTCTTCGGAAATAACAAAACTTGCATTTTTGCTTTCGATCTCGCTTTCAAAGTACCCATCTCTTTGTTGAGCGTCGACAGAGTTGTCCAGAGGCTCCTTGGGAGAAGGTCTGGAGATTTCCTTTAAAGGAAATAAAATTAGATCTAGTTGTAGCTGATACTTTCTCAGAAAAACACCGTTTCTTTAATTTTTAGTTAAGAACCATTTTGAAACGTGAATTAATTTGATACATGATCATCGCACACAAGTGTTCTACATTGTTTTCCTTTTGTACTACTAAACGGTACCCTGACTATTAGATTTTATTTCACAGAGCGAAAAAAGTATAAAAGCATGATACGCCAACTGACAAATGAAAACGTACACAACCCATCGTAGTTAGGTCTATAAGAAGTTCTTTGCTTCCATCTCTTTTGTAATAAAGATCCTTGCTGTAATTGCAAAGAAGATTTTTACKTCACATGGGCCTCCGAACAATTGTCCGAATACTAGGCTACTAGTGAACAATAATGTGAGAGCGCGTTTTAAACAGATGTCACATGCAGAAACTGATTAACCCGATTTGCTCCTTAGCAAATATGGAGGGTCAACCAGCGCAATGGAATCATCTTTTAATTGACCCATCAAACGTACTTTTTTAAGTCAGTTGTAGGTATGGAGCGGTAGYTTTTCTGGTATCGTGAATCATTATTTTGCTGTATGTTAGAGCACTTTAACTGAGTATAATAGAACTCTTTGCGTTGAAAAGCGGCGTTTTTTAATTTTAYTGCATATATTTTTTTCATCATTTTTTTAATATCTCACAAACCTCAATGTAYTGTTGTTCTTCTGACGGTGATCTTTCTGTTTCAAGCGTTACTTCTATTCCATTGTTCCCAGTTTTGATTACTTTGATTCGCTGCAAACAGATCAACATGTAAAAATATAAAGACGGGAAGTCTTTTGTAGACAAATTGAAGTGTCTCCATCAACTAGCTTCAGCTATATGCAATCAAATATGAAAAGGCTTCCTTTGACAAGCTCGAGGCTTCATTTACTTAAAATAAATAATCAAAAAACAAAACATCGTCCTATCMAGGTATTTGGATTCTTTCCGCATGTCTGGAAGGTTTCATTACTAGACTCTATGACAGAAAATGGACATGTAGGGAACTGTCACTCTTCAATCTTGTCAGAAACAGAAATGAAGACGAATATATGAGAACAAAGTCCTAAGAACTCAATTGTAGAAATATTCAAAAGTGAAAATATTTTGAAAGCAATCTCCGCTTCAACTTGTTTTTTTTTTAAAGAAAGTATATGTAAATATTTTCTCCTGGCATCTCTCTAGTCATGCCAAGAAGATGAAATTGAAACTGAATTGCGTTACACGTAAGCCTACTCCATCACAAAAACATGGGTGTCAGATTCCATCCTAGTCAGATTTTTATCATTAAATAACAATCTAAAAGTTACTTTAGATCGTTTTCTACAACATTTGCCCTATCATTTGCCACGACTTCATTACCTATCTCTGACTGTTACTTCAAAAGACGTCCCTGTGGAAATACTTAGACAAATACGCATTTTAAAGCCAATGTATTTCAGAGGGCTCACCTTGGGTGCTGGATACGAGGTTGAAGGATTCTGTGTTACAGAACCAGAGGAATTCATGACAAAAGTCCTGTCGTTTGAAGTCCGTTATTGATAATACACGTTGATAATTAGAAGTAATATGAAAATGCAAGCTCTTGTAATTAAACTATGTCTTCAGCACTCGAATTCGGGATTGCGAATACGAAAGTGGCTTTGACAGCTCAAGGCGCCGGGTCGTCAAGTTCACCGTACATGTCCAAAGGTTCCTTGTGATTGGCTGATTGATTGGAGATATGTCAGTCATTTCAAGTTCTCAAATTACTGTTGTAAAACTGAAGGTACTTCAAACTCTAAAACCAAACTAATAGCAATTGAGGTTTAGATCATTATAGCTCTGAAATTTTAGTGTTGATCGTATTGAAAACATGAGGAAATATTCACAGAGCTCAGACAAATTAGACATTTTGGGTTACATGTTCAGATATGGAAAGAATCAAATTCGTGTTTGACCCGTTGACCTTCAGCAGGAAACCAGCGTCATAGTAGACATACCGGAAAGGCGTCCTACTCCACACATACACGAGCATGATGGGTGATGGRCATTTAAAACACACTTTATGATTAACACGTGTCTGGTTCGTGCCCAACTTGTAAAGAACAGTCTTTCAAGGTATGAAAAGCATTAATACTCTGAGTTTTGCAGAATTTTTCATATTTAATCATGAGGGTCCTAAGTAGCCAATTAAATTGGCTTACGCTGTTGTGGGGTTTCGATGTGGTTCCTTGCCTAGCTCTGTGATACTTTTTTTCTTTTTTTCTTTTTCATGCATAATTTTTGTAAGACGAAGCTAATAAAATAATATACTTGTCTTGGACGAAATTTTCTCTCAGAAAAAGTTCTGACTGATATACATTTTTAAGGACGAAACTGATTCCGTCACTGACGAGGACGGCATCGGTCCACCAGCTWTCGACGATTTGGCCGCAATCGTACAAATGTTACGGTAGATATTTTGTTCGAAACTCGTTCAAATGAATTTGCCGTCTGGAAATGAGTTTCCGTCTTGGGTAGAATTCCATTTCGGCTCATGTGTACTCAACACAAGAGCATGATTTGTACAACAGGTTGCACATTGAAAATGAAGAAAATACACCAACTCTGACCAACTTTATACAAACCCTGGCCAATGCAACGCAAAATATCATCCACCATTATAGGGCGATCCATACAATATCAATTAATAGTACAATTTTTTTTTTGATAGATTTTATCCAGAGCATCTCAAAACTTTTCACAGACACAATTCTGCGTTGTTTCTGATTTGTAAAATGCAATACCTATTGATTACATTTCATAATTATTACATCTTCTTATTTTAATCAAATGGTTTTAAAAAAGTTTKCTTTGCTTGTTTTGTTGTTGTCTTTGTTTGCATTAATTCCGGGATTAATTTAAGTTCACAATGACCTAATATATTCTATAAAATTAGACTTGAAGTCCATTCAAATGGCACTACATTACATGTAAATGCATGTATCACCTTTTTGCGACTCGACGTATTTTCAGTTAGAAGTATATCTATGTGTATCGTCAAGTTTGATTAAGTTCAAATAATTCTGACCTCAATGTAATTCCCGTAAACTGATATGGTGAGAACGTAAAACTATTATTGAACTTAACTTCAATTTTAAACGTATCATTTTTTGACATACATGTATGTATAATAATACCTTTCTTTGTGATATACGTTATATTCTTTGTGATATACGTTAAAGAAAGAAGCCGAAGTTCTCTCATTTGTTTTCTTTTCATTTAGTTCTCGCTKYTCTCTCTCCGTTCAACACGCAGTTTAATTCCATCCTTTCCGCAACCCAACGTAGACTTCAATAAAATYGTAGGTGGAATGTTGGTCTCAGGCACTACAATAAACTTGAATTTCTTCAAGAGTCGAACCAAGACAAGCTTCAACTCCATCTGAGCAAAACGAATCCCAATGCAGTTCCGAGGTCCTTGGCCAAAGGGAAGGTATGTATATGGGTCACGTGATTGCACAGCTTCAGGACTGAAGCGTTCTGGGTCAAACTTCTCGGGGTCTGGGTAGAAGTCAGGGTCACGATGTATGTTATATGCYGGGATTAGTATGGGAGTTCCATTTTTGATGGGAAATCCCTTAATGACACAATCTTTGACACACTGTCTTGACAGAATAAATCCTGCAAACATGAAGAGAGGATATAAGTAAATATAGAAATARTATTAGTGATCTCTGACAATCATAACAATAATGAAATGCTTATTGAGATAATAATATTCTGAAAATAGCAAGGAATCATAGCAGCAAAGGTATTAGCTACGTGGCWGGTGGTGGTAGAGCCGTGGGAGAAGTTAGGGTTTACTATTGTAGTAGAACAGGTAATGGTAGGTTGAAAATAATGTTATATCAACRTAACAGCCCATAATACCAATACCAATACCCAGTTAGTACCTGGCGGATACAGGCGAAGAGTCTCATTAATGACCATGTCCAGGTAGGGTAGTGACTGGACAGTGTCATATGATGGTTGGTCATCCAGATCGCTCCACACATCATCAATTTCTTTGTGCAGTTTTTCCTGGACTTGTGGATTGGTAATAAGATGGTAACATGTCATAGCTAATGTGTTGCTGGTCGTTTCATAACCAGCAAACATAAATATCATACTCTGCGCAATCACTTCAAGTTCTGATAATCGTTTGTTACCRGGAATGSTTTGGTCAACATCTGCATCTCTGCGACTCAACATTGAATCCAAGAAATCCTGAAAAAATGAAAGATATCATTGTCATAAAGYTATATCCAGATATTATTCAACACTGTATTAATACAGGAATACTCCCTACATCTATTTAGAAATAATTTAGTACACATTACAAACATCACTCTGTATAAAGCTCACAATGTTATGGAAAACAAAAACAGGTCACAGTGGAAGCTTAAAGTGTTGTTAGAACATACAAGAGAAATAAATGGTCCCCTTTTTTCTACATAAACATGTACCTTTCTTTGTTCGTCTTCTGATTGCCGTCTTGTTTGAATCACCTTTTCAGTCAAGTGGATCAAGTTGTAAAAGTTTCCAAGGAAGAACGTTGGAAAGTATTTGATTAGATATGACCCAAAAGGGATGATAGGAATCAGATTTCTTATTGTAGTTCTAACAGGTCCAGGGTCTAGACTTTCACGTCCTGCTTTGAAGGCTGGGTCATCATAGTTTAGTTGTGCTTCGCATTCAATGCCAAAGAACGTAGCTAAGATCACTTCCATGGTWAGGCCTTGGAAATATCTTAAATACAATACACAGTACAATCAAATTTAATCTCATTTTACTCAAAATTTCAGATTATATGTTGGATGATGGTGAAGACGTTTGTCCACTCTCRTTGCTATTGAAACATGTTGAAAGATCCATGCACGCATTCAAAAATTGCTGTTCAACAATGGAACAAGAGTTTAAACTAAAATAGAATGTAATTCCTTGAATCGTACATATAGTTTATTATTCATGATAGGAAGGATATTTTTTTTATTTCTATTTCTATTTGTCTCCATTCAAGCTGCTATTGCACCATTTAAAATAAATCTGACCCTGTACATATACAATTAAGTCACACTTAACACAAAGGCTTCATACTTACTTGAAAATGTCTATGGTTTCACCAGACTTAGCTACTAACTCCAGTCTTTTTTCCAGTAAGTCACATGACTTGTTGATAAGAGGAAATGAATATTTTAATTTCATGGAGCTGAAGTTTGGTGACAATATTGTTCTCATGCGATGCCATGATTCTCCTTTGGCAAGGCTTAACATATCATCAAAAGGCTCTGGCAATTCAAATGCAATCTGCAAAACATAAWGATGGCACAATTAGCATATCAGGGACAAGTTATAAATAAAATTATCCACCACTGAGTTAAGGCTATCCACACAGACTTGGTATGGATTTTATCTGCTGGATAAAGATCTATCTGTTGGATAGCACTATTCACCCTTGGACACTAGCATGGAAGTGAGATTTTATATCAGTGCCACAGCTCCCAAACAAACTAAGAGGAAAGGTATATTCTAACATCTGTTACCCAAAAAGCTCAAAAATTGATTGTCAGCAAATAACATCCTTGACAATGACATTCAAAGCAATCCATTGAKCTCTGATTGGCTAAGGAAGCTGATACACTGAATGGTGTCCAAGGGGGCCTGTTATTTTTCCAAGATCTATTGCAGCCCATTCCCCCTTTCTCCAAGCCTCCCCCTACCCTAGACCGTGATGCAGGCCACACTGTTTCCAGAACAATCATCCAATATTACTATCAACAAGATATCAACTTACCGGACGATCATGAAAGTATTGAAACTCCTTGACCAGAATATCTTTTACCATTTCTGGATCACTGACCACAAGGACAGGCCTTTTGCTAAACACACTTATTGTGAACAATCGACCATACTTCTTGTAATAGTCCTCAAACAATTCATGCAATTGACCTTTATATTTCAAAATRTCTAGCATATGTCCTATAAATGGCAATGGAGTCGGTCCTGGAATATCACCCACAGCAGCAACAATCGTAGATCGTCGATATGGAGCGATTCCCCAGAGGTA